CACTCTGGAGGGTGAAGTGAGTTCATGGAGGTGAAGCACTAAGAATTGCACCTGTAAGCACCATATACGTGTTTACCATTGTTACAGGGGTGGTGTGTTGGTTGCTACACCACTTAGTCCTAGACAGTCTTACATTCCTTTGCAAGGCCACAATGAATCATGCTACTGCACACAAGTTGTGGGTTCTAATGGTACTTATGTCTTGACATAGCATCACAAGGATGGTTATTTTCTTTTTGCTTCCTACTTAGGAGCACAGATGGTTTAGAATATGAGCAGATGCCTTTAAACTGCTAGGCAGGAAGAACAAATTTCTCCTTAACAGGTGAGAGGTACAATTAAATTATTTTCTATAATAAGTGTGATTGAAACAGTGTAAAGGTATCATAAAACTATAGTTAATGGCATTCGGCTTCTTACCTTTTGTATTCTTGGTGACATATCAGATAATATTCCTCCCCAAAATCTCAAGTTGATACCTTGAGAACTGCTGTCTAGGAGTGTGGGGAGCTGGAATCAACAGAAAATAAATTTTAAAAAAATGTAGTTACAGGGTTGATGACTTAATCAGTCACACAAGCATGAGGGAATGAGTTTGAATCCCAGCACCCACATAAAATCCTGGCTTGATGGCACAGACATGTAACCCCAGTGCTGGTGAGCTAGAGATGGGGAATCCTCAGGACTTGCTGTACAGCCAGTGTAGACAAATCCAGAGAGGCCTGTCTCAAAAAACAAGATGAAGAGCAACTGAGGACGATACCTGAAGTCAGCTCTTCATGTATGTGCACACAGACACATCCATACAGACACACACACACACATACACACACACACACACACACACACACAATTTACACATACACACACACATATATTCTTATACACACAGACACATCTATACAGACACACAGAGACACATCCATACACACACACACACACACACACACACACACACACACACACAGAGGCACTATCTGATTTTACATGTATTTGAAAGCTGTTCTTTCCTTCCTAATTGGACTTCTGCAAGGGTGCCTTCAGAAACAAAATTCTTTTACCCAATCCAAAAAAAAATCAAAGGTTCCTATTCCAAGTTTCCCTGCTGAGCTAGCTGATCACAAATAGTCTCATGGTGACAGTAAATACACCAAAGTGATTCTGATTGCTGTTTTAGTGACACCAAACATGACTCCCAGAGGAGGGAAAACAGAGCGCAGCTGGTGGAGTGTGAAGACAGGCGGTTTGGAGGGCGCCCATCTGTTCACCTCCAGGCTCTGCAGGCCCTGCCAGGCTTCCTTCACAGCTCATGTCTGTCCCCTTTGTGTCCTTTCTGGGCAGGTTGTCACTCTTCCTCTGTTCACAAATACTCTCTCATGGAAGATTCCACCAACTCCACCACTCTTCTTTTAAAGCTACAGTTCCCATGAGTGAGAAGTTTCCTAGGGAAGTTCTTTAACTGAGAGCAACATCTGGATAGGGCCTGCCCATGGGACAACTCAGAATAGTTTCAGCATTTTCCATCTTGATCAGGAATACCAAAGCCCTCAATTTTGCTGCTCCACAGCCTTAGAGCCTGATCTGAACACCCTGAACACCAAGGTTAAGTCCTGATTGGCTTTATTTGTCAATAAAATGGAACTTTTGATGTAATGCAGTGAGCGGTTCCAACCTTCCTAACGCTGCGACCCTTTAATACAGTTCCTCGTGCAGTGGTGACCCCAACCATAAGATTACTTTCATTGCTACTGCATAACTGTAATTTTGCTACTGTTGTGAATCATAATGTAAATATCTGATGTGCAGGATAGCTGATATGCAGCCCCCAAGGGGGGCTTCAGAATGGAATTGAATCACCCATAGGCCACCCTAAAGAGTCTTTGAGGACTGACTTCTAAGTGTTAATGGTTTTCAAATTCAAGGAAGCATCGTGAGTGGCCTAGAGAGAGGCCCTGACAAAGGTTGTTCATCCTCATTCAAGTACATGTAGATCATAAGCCGTGAACCTGCATAGGGTGGTTCTCCTGAATGATGGCTGGACTGCTCTAGCTTGCATCAAGAGCTGAGAAGCAGGTAGTTATGCATGAACCACCGAGTTCCTATCTCTGCCCTGTATCCTTGCCTTTCTTCCCATGGAAGGCATGCTTTTGTGCTCTCTGCCCTCTGTTCTGACCATGGGGATGAGACACCCATCTTACTGGGACTTCTTTTCAAATCGCGTGTCAATAGCTTTAGTGGTAATGGATGCTGAGAAATTCACTTTAATCCCTATTTTTGCCATAAGCTGATGAGGTTGAGTTCATTGGGTAGGAAAGGCAGAAAGATGTAAATAGGTCAAAATCACAAGTCAGCGAATGCTCTCAATAATCTTGTTCATCTTCTTTCCTAAAGACTATGAGAGATAAAAAGGGTCACATTATTTATAATCATCATCATCATCATCAGCATCATCATCATCATCATCATCATCATCATCATCATCATTGTTTTGTTTTTGAGACAAGGTCTATATAGCCCTGGCTGTCGTGGAACTCACTACGTAGACCACACTCCCTGCCTCTGCCTCCTGAGGGCTGGGATTAAAGGCGTGCACCGCCACACACAGCTGTCTTCCATTATTTTTCATGTATCTGGCTCGCCACTAGATCAGGGGTTCTCAACCTGTGGGCTGTGACTCCCCCTTGGGGGCTGCATATCAGCTCTCCTGCACATCAGATATTTACATTATGATTCACAACAGTAGCAAAATTACAGTTATGCAGTAGCAATGAAAGTAATCTTATGGTTAGGGGTCACCACTGCACGAGGAACTGTATTAAAGGGTCGCAGCGTTAGGAAGGTTGGAACCGCTCACTGCATTACATCACAAACTCCTTAAGCGTTGCAACGGGCTTGCTTGTTAATCACCAGCACAGGTGCACATCATCCGTGGATTTGTGTTGCATTAGAGAACAGGAGACTAATCTTGCAGCCAAGAGGCAGAGTCGCTTGGGGTTTTAGGTTCCATGAGTGGTGTCCCTGCCAGGGAAGGAGTAATCAGTTCCACTGCTAGTGACTGGGAAGGTGACACTTGAGCTGATAAAGGTTTGCGGTGATTGTGAAGATGGAGGAGGTATTTGTGCACAGAAGGTTGTGGGCAGTCTGGAATTCCAGGTGGAGAGAAGAATGTGAAGCCAGACATCAAGAGTCAGCCTGGATAGATAGCCAGATAAAAACAAGATTAGGAATCTGGGGGAGAAGAAGCCTGGGGCCAGGGCGTGAGATGCATTTTTGTGTCTGGTCAACACTTTCTTTTTTGATCTTGCTTATAACTGGCTAACATCTATCTATCACACATTTGCTGAGCCCTGGTGTGCGTGTGGTGTCCTGGGTACATTTTCCTTCCTAGTTCTTTGCCACGGGGATGATAAATAACAAGGAACTTGTGTTCTGGAGAAGCCATTTACATCTCAGAGCAGTGCCTGGCTCCCAGGCAGCCCCCTCTGAATCTGCTCACTGGCTTTAAAATTGATGTTGCTATAAACTATAAAATAACTTCCCCAGGGTTCACTTCTTCCTTGAATTCCCTCCCCATTATCAACTCCAATTCTCTTTTTTTGTTTTTTTATTGTTGTTGTTGTTTTGTTTGTTTTTTGGTCCAATTCTCTTTTTTTGTTTTTTTATTGTTGTTGTTGTTTTGTTTGTTTGTTTTTTGGTTGTTTTGTTTTGTTTTGTTTTGTTTTTTGAGACAGAGTTTCTCTGTGTAGCTTTGGAGCCTATCCTGGCACTTGCTCTGGAGACCAGGCTGGCCTCGAACTCACAGAGATCCGCCTGCCTCTGCCTCCCGAGTGCTGGGATTAAAGGCGTGTGCCACCAACGCCCGGCATCAACTCTAATTCTTAAGCCCTGTTCCTGCCAAAAGAACCAGAAAAGCTATAACTTTATTTGAATGGAAATGTGGAAATATTTCTAGAAAAAAAGGGTCAGGGGTCAAAATGGCAAATAATAATACTATTATGCACATCCCAGACTCCTACATCAGCAAGTTCTCAATATTTTAAATAACAAATAGCTTTATGTCATAATTGGGTTTGTGACTGATAACTTGAGGTAAAGGCCAAATTAGACTTCTTAAGGAAGACTGGTTAAACTAATGGGGTTGCAGCGATGCATGTTGTTATTAATTGTGGTTGGTTTAAGTGGTCCCTGAGCAGTGAAGCCCTATTTAAGTGATATAAGGTCCTCATAGGGGGCTCCTGAGACCTCTGCTAAGATTCTTGGAGGACAAAACATATTCCTTTCCCTTGGAATATGCAATCTGTATACCAGTTTGATATGAAAGCATCAGCAGCTCTCTAAACATCTTGATGGTATTTACTGATTTGGTAGCTGTCACTCCATCAGCACATGAAAAGGGTGACCTATGATTGATGGCCTTTTCCTAACTCAAAGGAGCCAATCTGGAAACAATATCCATTTCTAAGTTGAATTCATCTACCCAACACATGGCTAGTTAGGTAGCATCAGATTAGAAACGCCTCTATGAGGACAATATGACTTCTTGGAGCCACTGAATGACTCTGGAGTCAGGTGGGCATCTTGTCTTGAAGGCATCTAGACCAGAAGTTAAGCGCAAGTGTAGCCATGGACAGGCAGCCCCAGGCTGTTAGGTTCCTTTCCCAGTAGCTGCTACAGGAAGCCCAGACTTATCCGGGAGGGAAGTTGTTGCTAGGCAACTGGAAGACTGTGGATTTAAAGCATGTTTGTTGCAGTCTGACAGTTGGTAAGCATGGGATAAAAAGAAAGGAAGCTGCTTTGGTGGTGAGGGGGCAACCAGGAGAGGCGCCCTGCGTGCTAGGAAATGCGTCATGAGTGGAGAATTCAGATTCAGTCACAGGAGGGTGGGGGGACTTGCCAAGCTGTCTCTACTGGGAGAGGTCATCCAGACGTGCTGTCTCCCGACACTGAAAGGAACGATGTCTGAAGGTCTGAAGCAGAGGGTGGGCTCTGGGATGTGTGCACAGACAAGTTAGGGAACTTTCTTGCAGAGCAACAGAAACTAGGCCTTGTCCCCTCCCGACGGCTTCTGTCCTAGTATCTGTTTCTGATGAAAGCAAACTGAGCTTGGAATCCAGGGGGCAGTGAAAGGTCATTTTGTGAGACAGAGCTTCCTCTAGTTACTGGGGTCTGAGGAAGGAGAGGAGGGCTCACTGCAGAGCAGAGTGTGTTCTCTGCCCCACGCCCTGCCAACTCTGTGTGTGTGTGTGTGTGTGTGTGTGTACTGGCCAGAGGACAACCTCAGGGGTCATTCCTCAGGCACCATTCACTCTTTAATTAGTTAATTTTAAAATTTGAGACACGCTCTTCTGGAGCTTGCTAATTATGCTAGGCTGACTGACCAGTGTCTTTTCTCTGCTTCTCTAGTGCAGAGATTTATAAGCCCTTTTCACCATATCTGGCTTCTTTACTTAGGTTCTAGGTATTAACCACAAGCCTTCATATTTGTGGTCCAAACACAGTCCCCCAGTTCC